CCCTTATAATCATTCCATACACCACATATAGCTGACCTACTGCTTGTAGTATCTGAGAAACGGACCTAATCACGTAACTTTAACCTTGATCACTGATCCATGAAATGAGGCTGAGGTCAGGTGAACCCTGTCTGATGGACATGTAGACGTTGCAAGGAACCCATATACCAAATATAGCTATCCTGTTACTCATAATAAGTGAGAAATTTACCTAACAAAAAAACTAAACTTTTTTTTCAAGCAGTCGCTGAACCATGAAAATAAGGTCAAGGACATTGGACATATGACAGACGGAAAGTTTGTAACATAAGGTATCTGCATACAAAGTATGAAGCATCCAGGTCTTCTACCTTCTGAAATATAAAGCTTTATACAAATAGTTTACGCCGCCGTCGCCGCCGCCGGATAGTAATACCTATGTCTCACTTTCTGCGACTTTCGTCGCAGGCGAGACAAAAACGAGAAACGAGAAACACGTATGAACCACATGTCTTTTTAATGTTTGTGTATACTGTACTATTATTTTGTTTTCCTTGTTCTACAGACAATCATCTAGTGCAAAAGTTTAATTATATGTTCAAAAATTGTAATATCTGTAATATTTGTTCTGTACGTTTTTTTTGTGAGGACCTCAAGGTAGATTAGTGAATGCTAATTGAGTCACCCTCTTTAAATAAAGTCATTATTATTATTATTATTATTAAAGAACCAATAAAATACTTCAACAGACACAAAATCTACAACTTCAAATGTTGGTCTGAACAGGTATTAATAGCAACAATAAATTAGAAAATTCATGTACATTTCATTGGTTGTGAGAACCACCGAACGGCATGAAAACTGACAATCCTAGTTTTAAACATTAAATACGGAATTTTCTTATCAAATGCATATTTTCAGTTACTGTAAATTTAGAAAGTATCACAATAATAAGAACTTGCATTTTGATAACTAAAACATAGATCTGTATGTAGATTTTTCTGAAATCACAATAATTAAACTTGAATTCTTGTCCATTTTTGAAAAATCGCAATAATTTCTGAATTTACAGTATATTAACTTTAAGTAATACTATCACAGTATGCATGCTCCTTTCTTGATCAATCTGTATAACTGGTTCATGTGTTTTGATCATGAGGAAAACTAGACAAACTTGTCATGCTTGTTGAACTAATATTCAAAAACAATTCAATAAAAGATTTCTTTATTATCTTTACATAGATAACAATAAATCAAGTGTTCATCTTTTGATAACAAATCATTAACCAGCTGAGCATGTTTAGCCTACTATTGTCAATTTAAACTTTTCTCCCTTTTGACTATTGAATGCATTATAAAAGTAGTACTTACAAGTCAGTGACTATGTAAACTCATGATCTCATTCTCTGATTGGAACGGGAAAGTCAGTGAATATGTTAACTCATGATCACATTCGTTGATTGTAACTGAAATGATTTTGTCTTTTGTGGGCCTCAGTTTCAAAATAAAATATCTTCCATTCATACACAGTACATCATTTTTTTTTTGTTACATTGATCTCAAATATAATCTTTTTTTTTTCACAGCATTTTTTTAAATATTGTTACTGAACACACCCTTTTTTTTAAAAATTATATATTCATTGAAGTCAATGATCTTTAAAAAAAAGTAATAGATCATGTGTTTAATCTTCAGCAACACTGACACAAATTTAATCCAACATTTGGTTTTCCTTTTTCTGCTTATAGGAAATGACCTTTGTAAAGTAAAGAAAAGCCATAAAAAACTCATGCTAATTAAAACATATAAAGAAACTGCACAGGATGTGGTGCAAAGTATAACCCCATTCATAATTGGACATTGACCAAAAATGTCATGCTTAGTGGGTATATTTAATAGGGTATATTTAATAGCCTACTGTAGGGTTTTTGCTCATTGTTGAAGGCCATACTGTGACCTGTATTTGTTCATATCTTAGTCCTTTGGGTTTTGGTTTATAGCATCATTGGCCATCATACCATGTCTCATTCTTGTGTATTAAAAAAAAAAACAAAATCTAAATATTGTCGAACAAGAAGTGAGATTCCGGCAGCTCTGAAAAATGCTTACAATGTGCAACTCAAATTCATAAAGTTCTGCAATAACTATCAAATCATGCCTTACATGGTACAACCCATGATGAGTAAGTTCCACACCAAATATCAAACCATTCCTTAATACAGCAGCTAAGAAATATGTAACAAGAGTGCACACGCTGAAATATCTCGCCTTCTTTACTAACCATTGATTTTATGTTGATATAGTCCTAAATAAAAAGCTTTACTACAAGTAACACATAAGCTTAACATGATCCAAGAAAATGAGGTCAAGGTCAGATAAACCAAACCAGAAATACATGTACACCTAACAATCATTCAATAAACCAAACATAGTTGACCTATTGCTTATTGTTTCTAAGAAACAGTCTTAAACAAGAAAACTTAACATTGACCAATGAACCATGAAAATGAGGTCAAGGTCAGATGAACCATGTCAGACAGACATGTACACCTTACAATCAATTTAGGCATTAAATATAGTTGACCTATTGCTTATACGGTAGTATCTAAGAAACAAACTTAACCATGAAAACTTAACATTGACCAATGAACCATGAAAATGAGGTCAAGGTCAGATGATACCTGCCAGACAGACATATACACCTTACAATCCTTCCATTCATCAAATATAGTTGATCTATTGCTTATAGTTGGAAGAAAAACAGACCAAAACACAAAAACTTAACCCTGAGAAATGAACCGTGAAAATGAGGTCAAGGTCAAATAAAACCTGTGAGACTGACATGTACATCATAAAATATTTCCATACACCATTTATAGTTGACCTATTGCATATAGTATTAGAAAAAAAGACCAAAACTCAAAAACTTAACTTTGACCACTGAACCATGAAAATGAGGTCAAGGTCAGATGACACCTACCAATTGGACATGTATACCTTACAATCATTCCATATACCAAATATAGTAGACCTACTGCTTATAGTATCTGATATATGGACTTGACCACAAAAACTTAACCTAGTTCACTGATCCATGAAATGAGGTCGAGGTCAAATGAAAATTGTTTGACGGGCATGAGGACCTTGCAAGGTACGCACATACTGAATATAGTTATCCTATTACTCATAATAAGAAAGAAATTAACATTACAAAAAATATTGACTTTTTTTCCAAGTAGTCACTGAACCATGAAAATGAGGTCAAGGACAATGGACATATGACAGACATAAACTTCGTAACATAAGGCATCTATATACAAAGTATGAAGCATCCAGGTCTTTTAGCTTCTAAAATATAAAGCTTTTAAGAAGTTAGCTAACGCCGCCACCGCCGGATCACTATCCCTATGTTGAGTTTTCTGCGACAAAAGTCGCAGGCTCGACAAAAACTAGAATGTGTCCACAGTACAGGGATGCCCCACTACCACTATCATTTTTCTATGTTCAGTGGACTGTGAAATTGGGGTCAAAACTCTAATTTGGCACTAAAATTAGAAAGATCATATCATAGGGAACATATGTACTAAGTTTCAAGTTGATTGGACTTCAACTTCATCAAAAACTACCTTAATGACCAAAAACTTTAACCTGAAGCGGGACAGACAGACAAACGGACGGACGAACGGACGCACAGATCGAAAAAACAAAATGCCCCTCTACTATCATAGGTGGGACATAAAAATAAAGGCTACCAATTCAGAACAAGGTCATTGCAGGATACCACTCACATTGTGGGTGTATAATACTTTAAACAAACCCATGATCTTGAGTGGCTTAAGTTTTCAACAGAACAAAATTCATCATTGGTGAAACAAATCTGTTCATAAATTGTATAACACAAAGACAGCTGAATCCATCATTAATTACTAATATCTTTTTTTTTAAATGACAAGTATGCATCACTTCAATATACATGACTGTATGAAATATTCCTATCTCAATTGACTGTACGAAATATTCCTATCTCAATTATACCTTCCTTTCATTCCATCCTATATATAAGAAATATGTCCTATCTTTTCCTTCCTTCATTCCATCCTATATATAAGAAATAGGTCCTATCTATTCCTTCTTTTATTTCCATCACCCAAATAAGACTGTAAAACATAAGTTTGAAGGTCTTGTCTATTAATTCATAAAGGCAAGAAATAGGTCATATCTTTCTTTCTTTCATTCCATTATTAGATAAGAAATATGACCTATATATCTATTCTCTTGTTCATTCCATTATATAAATGTACATATATTAATTATGCCTCATCTATTCCATTTTAAATTCATTAAATACATATGAAATATATATATATCTTATTCATCACGTCTTTCTTTCATAGAGTCTGAGGTATAAAAAAATGTCCTAACTATTCCTTCTTTAGTCCATCACGCACATGCATTAAATACATATGAATTATATATCTTTATTATTCCATCTTTCTTTCATAGAAGTCAGAAATATGTAATTTTAATTCCATCCTTTATTATTCTGTCCTATGTTTATGGAATAATCTGTTTATTTCATCCTTCATTTATTCCATCGTGTGCTCCATTATTCATGTGTGGAAAATCTTGCAATATTTTTTCCTCTTTCCTTTCACTTTCAGCAAACGTTATCATTCTTCAAGCCCATCTTTATCTTTGCAAGCTTTATATTCATTTTTTTTTCTTCAAAATATCCTTTTTCAAAGTTCATTCATTTTTTTCAAATATATTATTGGCTTCTACTTCTAATTTCCTCCTCTTTATTCCTTTTTTCTTCATTTCCCATTTCTGTCTGACTTTCTTTTCCCCATAATTTTTTTGTAATTATACAATTCTTGCAAAATTCTGCCAACATTATCTCTCTTTTTTTTCAAGTAAAAAACATGAACAAGAGAAACTCTGCAATGCATTTAATAAATTTACATAATTTAAATTACAGAAACAAATTATAAAAAAAACAAATTATAAAAAAACAAACATACTATACTGTGGCAAAATCTGTTAAACTTTCATACTATTCCTTAATATTCTCCCATGAAGCTTATCCACCAGTAGAACTCTCACTCTCAGTGTTTACACTAACATGTGTTTATAATCAATAGAATTTTATTTATAAACAGTGATCACTCTGCCCTCTGGGGGATTTTATTATTAAAGCCAGCTGACATACATTTAGTGCTTGTGGTCATAATAAAACAATATAATATTTTGACAAGACAGTGTAAATCTGACATTTATTTTTGGACTAACCTAGTTAGTTTACATAGCTGTAGGATGTTAACAAACAACAGATGTGCATATAAAAGTACTGATGAAGCCTGTAATCACAAATAAATACAATGACCCATATAGTTATCAAGGATAGTCTGTAATTAATGGTTATGTAATATTGGTTTGACCTGTTTTCCCTGAATAAGTTCAATAAATATTGATTGATACTTATTATCAAAATATTATTACAAATTTAACTTATTTTATTATCTTGTACTTTTTCTAACATTCATGGCAGCTCTAACTATTTACATTTTTAATATCTTACTCTTCTTTTCCACCATAATTTAATTATATTTATTTCTACTTTTCTATTTGACTAGGACAGATTGATTGATTGTTAGTGTTTAACACCACTATCAGTACTGTTGGCTATATTGTGGCGGCCATATTGTATTGGTGAAGGAAGCCAGAATGTACAGAAAGAATCACTAACCTTTGGCAGGAAAACTATCCTAGTCAAATAAGATTTGAGCCCAAAACAACCTCAGTGTTGACAGGCTAGTGGTGATTGTAGATGTACTACTTTGACCACTCGGCCATCAAGCTCCTGCATTGGACAGAGGGTTATAAGCTGGCCTATCGCCAATATATTTCCCCCAAATAAAAGAAATTTAAGCTGACACACTGAAACGTCCTGACAGACATTAGAAATACAAACAACTATTGCTAAAGTAAATTCCTAGATATAAGATCAATTTGCCTCAATTAATAAACTGACCTCAGAAAGAGCATAAATAAATTACATGCTAAGTTAACACTATAACCATTATAACCCAGTTTGTATCATGCTGCTTAATACCAAGTAATGTATAATATCCTGTCCAGATGATACAGATACAGTGTCAACATTATCACAACTAATTATCCCATCATTAGTACTATAAAGTTTGACAGTAGACATCTTCTTTAATGATTACATTAGTATTGCCAGTTTTGTTAAGGTCTCAGCATGGAAGTATTAAATGATATTATGTCCATGGTCTCAGAAATTTGAAACTGTTGTGAAAAAGAAAATTATTTATATTATTACATTCTTTCATGAAAATAAATTGCATTCAGAACATAATGTTAACAACTTATCAAATCTGTTTGTAACAGTTGTAAAATTGGAATTCTCTTCTTTGCCAATTTCATGTTTTATAAAATCTAAGTTTGTGTCCATATTTTTTACACTTGAAATGTTTGATTTTCTAACCTTATCTTCATAAGGATGTTTTTCATTTAAAAACTTTTTATTATTCAAGCATAAAACCTTCATTTAACTAAAGGTAGCACTACAGTCTAACAATGATTTTTTGGAGATATTATTTTTATCACATAATTTTAAAGTAAGTATCATTCTGCACATTTTGTAAAAATCCCGAAGTCATTATCATATCACAACAGAGAGTAAATTGATAATGAACACTTATGTAAAAAAAAGCACATGGTAATTACTCTAAATATATGGGCATTTGGGAGGGCCTAATATGTCAATCATCTGTTGATACCAGTGTCCAGCTGTTAATCCCTGACCACAAGATAAATATTGTGGTCTTATCTCATTGTATTGCAACAAAAGTAATTTATATAACCATGGAAGTAAACAGAGAAAAGGAAAAAGATATGAAAATGAAAAAATCTAGAAGGAAAAAATCTACAAAAATGAAAAAAAACTATGGATAAGAGTGTGAAAGTATCTCAGAAAGCCTCTGACAAAGGTTCTTACTACAAACAAGAAGAATATATCTCTGAATCTTCTACATTTAAACATAGATGTATAAACCCATTATACATCTATGATTTAAATGATGAGCATGTCTTCTGTTAGGAGTTTTAGGCATTTTAACCAATTTTAAGTTTATGTGAAATTATCAATTCCATAAAACTAAATAAATGTGGATAGTGTCCACATGTGGACACAGATGATGCCCCCGCTTGCATATCATATAGTTATAAAGGGACATAACTGAAGAACAGTAAAAGTGACGCTACCCAAATTTGAACTTGATCTGAGTTTTGTGGTAATAAGCATTGTGTGTAAGTCTCATAACATTTGGTTGAGGCTAACTTAAGTAGAGAACACAAACTAAAAATTCAGCAATTTTTCTATTTGTAAACACGCATAACTCTAGAACTGATTGTATAAGTTTTATAACATTTGGTTGAGACAAACTCAAGTTAGAGAATGGAAACGAAAAATTCAGCAATTTTTATGTTTATAAAGGGACATAACTCAAGAATGGTAAAAGTGTCGCTACCAAATTTCGTACTTAATCTATATTATGTAGTAATAAGCATTGTGTATAAGTATCATAACATTTGGTTGAGGCAAACTAAAGTTAGAAAACGGAAACATAAAAAAAAGTACTTGATCTTAGTTTTGTGGTAATGAATATTGTGTATAGGTTTCATAATGTTTGGTTGGGGGAAACTTAAGTTACAGAATGGAAACTAAAAATTTTGCAATATTTCGATTTATAAAGGGGCATAACTCAATAATGGTTAAAGTGACACTACCAAAATTCAACTTGATCTGTGTTTTATCAGTGCAAGTCAAAATTAAACATTGCATTGTATAAAGCATTGATTGTAGTTGATTCAACTATAATCATGGACAAAGGAAGATAACTCCAATTTTAAAAATTACTTGATATTTTGCAATTTTTCCATTTATAAAGGGGCATAACTCTAGAACGGTTAAAGTGACGCCACCAAAATTCAGACTTGATCTGTGTTTTGTGGTAATAAGCATTGTGTATAAGTTTCATAACATTTGGATGAGGCAAACTTAAGTTAGGATGGAAACTAAAAATTTTGCAATTTTTCCATTTATAAAGGGGCATAACTCTAGAACGCTTAAAGTGACGCCACCAAAATTCAAACTTGATCTGTGTTTTGTGGTAATAAGCAATGTGTATAAGTTTCATAACATTTGGTTGAAGCAAATTCAAGTTAGAGAACGGAAACCAATTTTGGGACGTACGTTCGTACAGACGGACAAGGGTAAAACTTAATGACCCCATCGCTACGGCGGGGGCATAAAAATCATGTGGGACATTCTATTTTCAGGAAGGGGATGGTCTTGATCTTTTTAAGAACATATCTTTTATTGCATAATTTTAATGTTCTAGATAATTTCATAGTATATTTATTTTTAAAATACAAATGAAAATTATTCTTTATACATATTGAGAATGATGATGTTAAATATTGATTATACTGTATATGCAGCTGGTCAATCCTGTTATTCTCTTATCTTAGACTGTCTGGACAGAGGCGGAGCTTTGTCTATATTTAATTACTACATTACAGATGTTGGTCAAATCTGTGACATCAAACTCCCGCCAAATGCCAAGTTAGTGTTGGACAGTGCACACATAATACAAAATTTACAGTCTAAGAGTATCAAAGACACAAACTGTGTGGTTCTATTGATAAATAATGGTGTCAGAACACTCCTGGGGTGTTCCGAGTGGAATTTATATATTTATGTTGCATTTATAGGGGTTCTAAGGGGGAAATTCAGTTTTTAGGTGATTTCTCAGAACAATTTTTCATAAGATTTGTTAGCAAAAACTGAAAATAGAAACTTTATGGGTACCCCCTTTGGTTTGGCTTTGATATACTGTAAACCGGGAAATTTTCGCACCGTCTTTTTTTCACGATTGACCAACAAAATCTAGATTCGCGCCGTTTTGAATTCGCGATGTCCCGGTCTGTGTCCTATATAAATTTTTTTTCATAAATGATTTGGAAACTGTAAAGTGTTAATAAATGTATTTAAATCAAGTGATAAAACCAATCAAAATTCCTTTTTGTTGGTTGACATTTAAAACTATTAGTCATGTTTGCTTGTAAAAACACAATCACAGTAATCAAAGAGGAATGACCTAATTAAGAGTGAATTAAATGCTGACAGAATTACTTCTTATTAGTTAATATTTTAATCTGATTGATCTGTGCAGCAGATACAATGGGTAATCATTTTAAAAATGATTGACAGGTGTCATTTACATAACTGTAAAGATAGTTGTTTATTTAGCAATATCCGTAATATCCACTTGGATTAATTAGGACTATCATGAGATAAAATTTTGATATCTAACACTGACTTTCCTTTAAAAATGAATTTATGTTTTGCGGTATAGATCTGTCGTCTGTAAAACCGATATTTTAAATTAGCCATCTATATATCCTATTGACATACGTTCATGTATGGTCTTCATATTCGTGTTCGGATTTTCTTGAAATATTCGCGGTCGTTTTATTTTCGCGTTTCAACTCTTACCGCGAAAAATGGCGAAAATAAAACTGCCGCGAAAATTTCCCTGTTTACAGTATGTGATTAAATGGAGTATTTACTACAAAACCGGGTCCCAGTTTTTGGATAATTTGTTTCTTAATGAATTTATAGGTCTCCAAAGATGAAAGGTGAAATGAGGTATGGCACCCAACAGTTAAATCAATATATCTTCTTACTGGAGGCATATATCAAAAATCTGAGACATGGTTTTGTAGCTTGTGTATGGTTGATTAAAGGGATGAAAGCAAATTTTTACTACCATTTGACCTGAATGTGCCATTTTCATCCAAGTTGGAAGACCACTTTTTTTGCAATTAATGAGCTATATTTTTAAATTAATCATACCAAAAATAAATTTATCTATAGATTAAGAAAGAGTAATATTTCAGCTTTAAAATGAATTAAAGATTTTAAAAACCCATTGAGTAGTTTTGGAGAAATTAATCTTTAAAGACTGTTGGCTGGAGTCAGAAAATTCTGACTGTAGTGCTACATTTGTACCTTAAACAGAAAGTTGGACAGAAGACAAAACTTATACAGGTCCGAGCACAGTTATTTCGTAGTGCATTTCTTTTAGACAATTAAAATTAAAAAAATCCCACCTGCGCTTTCTCAATAATATTTTTACAGTGTGTTGTACTACTTTT